GTAAACTGCGGAGGTGGGTAGAATTATCTCCTTTTGCTGATGGGTAGATGGAGGCATAGACAGGTAAAGGGATTTGGCCCAAGGTCACACAACTGTTAGCAATGGAGCTACATGAAATGAAACCAGCGAGAGCCGCCTTGGCAGCTCTAACCCACGGGCCACATGGCCCTTCTTCCTGGGCTCTACCTGTACTGTGTGTGCCAGGATCACTGCACCTACAAAAAAATAAATACAATGAAAACAAAAAAGGCTAGTGCTTTCCCCTCTTCCCCTCCCCTCCCGCAAGCAAACAGATCTGGGTGAAGAGACATCTGCAATCTCAGCAGCAGCAGCGGCAGCAGAGGCCGGGGCAGTTAACAGCCTGGCCCAGTCCAAATCCCTGGCCTCTTTACTGAAGGCAGGAAATGAATAAAAGCTAAATGAGTTTGAAAATGCCAGGAGGCAGTGTTTATCCCCTTCCCCCGCCCCCTCCCCCTGGCAAGGACCGTGTATAGTTACAGTTTAATCTTGGAAATGCCAGACAGCTGTTCCCCGTTGCTAAGAGACTGGCCCACATTATGCAGATGTCAGGGACCTCAAATGTCTGCCGGAAATTACAGATCATGTTGGAGGAGCAGAGGGGCCTTCTCTCCGCTGGGGAAGCGCAGCGGGAGACCCCCTGGGGGGTGGCAGAAGCAAGGGGCCCATCCCTTCCAGACTCTAGATTCTTCGCGGTGCCAGCCGCCCTGGCTCCCTGCTTCCTACAGCGCCCACCCCACATCCGGGCCTTCTTCCTTTGACAGCAGTGTGATGCCCATTTCACCCTCCCCCTCCAGTTATCCTTCTGGGGCATCTTTCTTCAGTCCAGTGTCCCTCTGTCTGTCTTGCAATCTTCCCTGCCACTGGGCTGGCTGAGACTGAGCTGGGAGGAGGGGCTAACCCCAGCCTAGGAGAGTGGGATCCCACTCCTGAGCCCCCCCTCACCTGGGGCTGAAAACGGACACACACATGCAATACACACACACCCTCCTTGACATCCCACCCCCGCCAACACCCCCCCCATGGCAGAAATAAGCACAGCTGTTGTCATGGCAACCTCAGGCTATCAGAGCTGCTTCATCCCTGGTCCCTGTGGAAGGGGAGCTGCCATCTAGGAGTGGGGGAGAGGAGGGAAAGTCCTTTTCCAAACCTTCCCTCTAACACGAACCCTGATTGAAAGTGACAGGGAATCTACCAGGGCCCTGGAGCGTGTCAGGGAGCCGGCACAGCTTCTCACTCAGGCTGGAGCAGGGTGCGGAGAGGCTGCCGGGTGGTGCTGAGGGAGCCATGGCATTCACAGGGTCTGCAGGATGACCCCTGGGTATTGTGGGAGTGGCAGGTGGGCTGGAGCCTGGGTGCAGAGTGGGTGCTGAGTGCCCGCTGTTTGAGAGCCCACACGGTGCCTGAGGGCAGAAACTTAATCTTACTGCCCGAGGATCCAGGTCACATCCGCTCTCCCTCCTGCCAGGGGTGTGACCTGGGCTTTCTCCAGCCACATAAAATAAAGCCAGGCGTACTCTGTGCCATCGGAAGGTGGCTGTACAGATAAGGATAGAGTGTGAGAGTGTGTGTGTGTGTGTGTGTGTGTGTGTGTGTGTGTGTGTGTACTCATATATGAAAACGCTTTAGAGAAAGGTTCATGGAAGCCCGTGAAAACGAGGCAGCGTTACCACCCATTTGGCCTTCCCTGGAGGTGCTGCTGAGGCTCATGGGAGAGGAACACTATTTACACAGCTTTCTTTCCACATGCCTAGATCTTCCTCCCTCCAAGTGGACACCAGCCTCAGAGAAAGCCTCACTGACTTTGTGCCCTGGCTCCGTTGGTCAGCCCACCCTCTAGTACATTTCTACAGGTGGGGAAACTGAGACACAATCTTCCAAGACCTGCCCAAGCCGTCACAGACCATTAGCTCTCCATGGCCCTTCAGAGCTGCCAGCCCCCTACCTGTCAACCATCCAGCCTCAATCCTTAAACCCCAGGAGGGCTAGGGCCTCTGTCCCTACCAGTTAGACACCCGGTTCCTCCTCTTATTAGCTGTGTGAGCTGGGCAAATAACCTTAGCTCTGCCTGCCCTTCTGGAAAATGGAAACAATCATACTGTGGATCTCTTTGTGTTGCTATGAGGTTAGAATAAGATCAAACATATAACCCACTAAGCTCCTGCTAAGATCTCAATGCCTTTTTGTTCTTAAAGTGGAGCCCCTTGCTGGGCACTGCCTCCTTAGAAAGGTGCCAGGCTTTGGCAGTAAGAGGGAGAATACCCTGAGCTGCATGCATACCTGCTCTCCCCCCAGCACAGCGACTCTTTTCTGCCTCTTTGGAAGGTTCTAGAAGGCCTGCCCAGGACAGTACACCTGGGAAAGCTCTGGGAGCAGGCACCAGCCACAAAGGCCCCAGGGCTGGGGGTTTCATGGGGCCTCAGAGAGGATGCTGCACCAGAAAAGGGGTAGATGGTGGAGCGTGGCATCCCCTCCCCTGTGGAACTGCCTAGACAGAGAGGCCAAGCCAGAAAGGCAGGCAGGAGCGGCCCGAGGCTGAGTCATGGCTGGCTCCCAGTTCATTCAGCCGCTCATGGCCCTCGCTTGGCGGGCGGGAAGACCAGCAGCTGCTCAGTCTCTGTCTTTGTTCCTCTTTCTCTCTCCCTGGCCTCTCCCCATCCTTTCATTTCCTTTCCCCTAGCTCTCTCTCTCCCTCTTTCACTTTCTCACCTTCCTCCTCCTTCTCTCATTTTCCCACCAACCTCAGTTCCCTCCCCCGTTCATCCTTCCCTTGAAGCCGATTTCTTGCTTTCTCATCCTTTCTTCTTCCTCAGAGCTCAGAACCACACTTGGCAGTCCTCCCCTCCTCTGCGTCCTTCCCTCCACCCTCTCCTCCAACAGTCTCTCTTTCCCTCCCCTCCTCCAGTTCTTCCTCCCTTCTCCTTACCTCCTATTTCTCCTTTCTCTCCCACATTCTCCCTAGTCTTCTCTGTCTCATCTTCACCTACTGAAGATACTTTGAGTCCCCAAACAAAGCTAGGTCAAGGTCATCCATGAAGCCCTCACCAGCCCTGGTCTGGGAGGTTGGGATCCAGAAACCAAGGTCAGAGCTGAGCTGAGAAAATCAGAATAGGTTGGGAAAAGTTTCTCTCAGTGTCCAGAGAACCTCTACCAGCACCTGGAACCCTCTCCCTACCTGGAGATTCCTATGCCAGTTCACCTGCTTCCTGCAAACACCCCTCCTGGCTTCCAGTCCCCTGCTGCATAAAAGCTCCCAGGGGAGCTGGGAATGTCTGAATCCTGACCCTCCCTGGTTATGCTTACCTCCCTACTATCTGCCTCGATACAGTGAGAAGAAGGCAAGAAAGAAACCAGACACAAAAATAACCTGCTTTTAACTGGAGGGAAAATGGCTGGCGGAGGGTTGTGCATATGTGAGGTGCACAATGTGGTAGAAAACACACGAGGCTTTGAAACCAGACAGGCTGAGCTTAAATCTTGACCTTGCTTCTTATTAGCCAATGACCTTGAGCAAGACACTCGCTGGACCTCAGTGTCCATCTCTGTAGAATGGGGATCATAAGAGCACCTCCCTCCAGAGGCTGTTTGGGGAATGCAGGGAGAAAATGCGAGGGAAGCACTTGGCACAGAGTGGCTGATCCTAAGTGCCCTCCTTAGAGAGAAAGAAAGGTTTTATGCAGGAGATGTGGCTTGTTTTAGGGGAATGGATTAATAATAGTAATCACACTTCTGTTTTTCTTGACGCCAGGCGCTATGCTAAGCACTTTGAATGCATTGTCTCACTTAATCCCCCAGCAACCCTATGTGGCAGTTGTTTTATTATTCCTGTTTCTTGGAAGAAGCAGCTGAGCCTCAGCAAGGCTAGACAATTTACCCCAAGTCACACAGCAAAGTAGAGAAACAAAATTCTTAACTCCTCTGCTGTTGGTTGGATCCGGCGTGGGAGACACAGCAAGAGTAACCACAGGCAAACAAGACCAAAATCAGTGCCACCTAAACCAGTCGTGAGCCAGGGACAGGGAGGACTTGGGTATAGTTTGAGGAAATTCTAATTGAGGTCCGTGCAAATCCACCACTTGCCCTCGGGTCCAACTCAAAGCCTTCGTGTTTGCAGCATCAGCGCTCTACCCTGCCTGAATCCTTGCTACTGAACCGTGGCGGGGAGAAGAGGGGTGGGGTCCAGGATCCCATTTCTAGAACACCATATCCCCGCTGCCTTCCTTCCACCCCCCACCCCACCCACCCCACACATACACCCTGCAATCCTGATAACCCCTGAGGTTCGGTCCTGCTACTTGTATGGCACAAATGATCTCTCCTGTTTTTTTTTTTTGCCACCCTGTGTTGTATAACGGGGATAATTGCTCTTTCTCTGGGGAATCAGGGCCGGGCCTGTAGGGCGACTGCCTGAGACTACAAACTGGTGCAGGGAAAGAGGGCAGTGGCTGTGGGACCATGGGAGGCAGGTAATTTATCGGAAATAAGGGTGGTGAGGCCTTAGAACAGATGGTTTCTGGTGGGAAGAGGTGAACTAGGAGGACACGAGACAAACAGGTGTAGTTGCCCCACCTCTGTGTCCCAGCCCTCGCACCCTTCCCCCAGCCAGCTTAGATTACACCCGTGCCTGGCTTTCAAATAGAACTCCACAGTTTCCATGGCAACTCACCACGTGGTTTCTGCCTTAGAGGCTGAAGGGGGGAGTGGCGAAAGGCAGCTGACAGGAGGTATGAGGTGCTCCTGGAAGGTGAGGGCAGAAGCCCACCCTCCAAGTCCCCTGTCATCCCTCCTGCCATTCACCCCCACCTCCAGCACACCACCCTCCCCCACCCCACCCACTGCTGAGGCCGCACAAAGTCCCCAAGGAAAAACGTGATGGAGCTACAGGACAAAGGCAGCACGATCACTTCTCCAAAATGTGTCCTTGACCTGCGACATTCTGTGCCACTGCCACGGGCCCTGGGGCAGCGTTTTGTCAAGCTCACCTTGGTCTGTTCAAGGAGAGGCCGGGAAGCATCCTGACTTCTGCTGCATCTTGCTTTCCCTTCCTGTGAAACAGGGTTGGCATCCTCTTCTGGAGCTGCGGTTGGCATTTTTGTTTTGTTGCTTTGATCAGCATGACTTTGGGCAAGGGGCGTGCCCTCTCTGACACTGTGTCCTCATTTTTACAGTGGGGATGAGCACATTTGTTTCTCAGTGTTGTCAGAGGGGAGCAAATGAGATGACATTTGGGAAAGTGCTTTGCGAAAGAAGAAACATATGAACGAGATAAAGGCATAGGTGCTCCTGGGAGGGCACACAGAGGCCACCCTTTGCCTCCTTTATCTGGCCAAGGGCCCAGCTCTACTGCATGGAACCCTGCAGTTCAGAAACCCCATATTAAAGCCCTCATTATTTTAAGCCCTAACCTTTCTGTACAAACTGTGTCTTGATGGATATTGGACTTGACCCCTACCAAGAGCATCTCCTGGCCAAATACCTAGTCGAGAACTAAGTGTCCTGTGGACTTGCCTTGCTGTCCCACCTGCACCATGCCGACGTGTTAGGCAGGGGCAACTTTCCCTAGAGAAGGACGACAGCTTCCGCTGGGCGTTTCCCACCCTTTTGCCCTCTCCTGTCTTTAGACTGGGAGGCTTTGGCATGGGTGCTGTCTGACAATTTCTCTCCAGCCCTGCTGGTGGGGACTCATCTAGGCTTGGTCCCCTGAGAGATAGCCAAAACCCAGGGACGCCAAGCTCAGCAGAGGGATGGGGTAAAGGAAGATGAAGAAAGAGACCAAGACGCCTGCCACATTCCCCACTCCAGTTAAAAGGGCTTGAACTTGGCCATTTGTCTCTCTCTTCCTTCCCAATGTCCATGCGTTGGCTCATGAAGACACCCACAGGCTGCATTCAGCCACCCTATAGAACCAGCATGCCTCTTCCTTCTCCAGAGAGCCCCTGGGTTTCCCTGAGCTGCTTCCTCCCGCCCTGGGACCCTGAGTGAGGTGCCTCTCTCCTCTGCCTCCCTCCCTCATCCATCAAGTGGGGGTGATCTCTGAGGCCCCTTGGCTCTAAAACACTGACTCAACAATTCTCCGCAGCAGGCAGAAGCACCTGGCCATGCAGCCTCCACCCCCTCCTCTCCTTTGTCGCCTCACTCAGCGGTGCCCCTGAGTCCTAGAGAGGGTGGCTTTCATTATTTTTTCTTTATTTTTATCAAAGGATTTTTTTTGTGTGTGTAAAAAATTGTGTCTCCCCTGAGACAGCACAGACTCTGAGCAGGCTCCCCTTGTTTCCATGGCAACAGCAGCTGGCTCACATGTGTGGTTGCTATGGATACAAGACTGGTTCTCCTCCCCTCTCACTTTCCCTTCCTTCCTCACCATCTCACCACCACCCACCCCCCATCCCCTACCCCTCCTTCCCATCACTTGAGATACAAGAAAAACCAGTGGGAGACCCTGGGCACCCTGGCAGCAGCAAACTGGGTCTTGGCCCCTGGTTGGGCCATCACCATGTGGGCCAACCCCTACGACTAGACCTTTCTCTGGCCCCAGGGGCTCCATCCTTCCACACACTGGGATGTGGCTTTTCTGATACAAGGAGTGGGGCGCACATAGCCTTGAGCACTCTAGACAAGAACCCCAGCAAATCCTGCCTCTGACAGGTAGAGGCTGTCTTCTCCCCACACCCCTCCAACCCACACTCAGCACAGAGCCCACCCCAGACGCGTGCCCAGAACCTTTGAATTGCAATATGAAGACTTTTTATGCCTCAGCGAGGATGTACAAAAGAAAAGGAAGGATTTGGGGGGAGGAAATCAGTGGCAGTAGGGATGGAGACAGAGGAGAAAGGGAACATGAAGGGACACCTCTGTCTTGTTTGTCCCTAGTTGTTGTATAGATGACGTGTAGTTTTTCCACCGACATGTAAGCACCTGAAGGCTAGGAGCCCTGCCTGACTTGTCACTGATGAATCCTCAGTGTCTGGGGGGAAGAGAGAAAAAATAATATACACCATAATGCTAACAGTGATTGTTTCCTCAGTGGTGATTCTAACTATAGCCTTTTTGCGTCTATTCTTCAGCAAACATGTATTAAATGTATAAAAAGAATGAACGACATGTTTATTTGTTTGATCTTAGAGAAAAAGGGAAGAGAATTTAAAAGGGGCTCCTCTCCCTGAGCACTGGAGCAGGGGCGTGGCTGTCTGACCTGGTCTCTCCTGTCACACGCTGGGGCCCAGGGGGCTGAGGTGACTCTCAGCTGTGGAGTGAAAGGGGCATCAGGGATCCTAAGTCATAGAAGAGGGAAGGGCTGTCAGCCCAAGGAAGGCAAGCCAAGAGTGAGACTCGGGCATCTGCTGGATATTGAGGTGACAGCAACGGTGCTGAGAGGCCCAAGGACACACCCCAGCACCAGGCCTCTCCCCTCTTTGGACCTCAGCCCAAGCCCCCTGAAGTTGAGGACTAACATCCTCTTTCCGACACCCCCACCTGGACCCTCTCAGGCCTCAGACTGGGAACATGGCTGAACTGTGCTAGAGAACACATGAAAGCAGCATAAAGGCTGACAGTGCCAAAGGGGCAGTCCCAGCTCCCCGTCTCCACTGAGGGGCAGGGCAGGAGGAAGGCAGGCTCAAGGTCAAAGAAAAGGTCATGCACATTCTTGTCCTCAGTCAAGGGCACACTCCCCCCCCAGCCACCTGCCGTCAGCACACTGGGAGTGGATCCAGGCACCTCAGAAACCTGGAAATCCGAGCCACCTGGATTGTGGGGGTACAGAGGCCTGAGAGATCAAGCTAATGTTCCCACCATCCTCCCATTTGATGGACAGACAGATGACAGGGGGGGTGAGGGCTCATTCTGGCTCATCCCAGCCAGCTAATCCTGCCAGCTGTAAAGGGGGAGAGAGGGAGAGGGAGAGGGAGAGAGAGAGAGAGAGAGAGAGAGAGGCGGAGAACAAAGAGGAGAGGCAGAGGAGGGAGGAACAGGAGGAGAAGGGGGAAACTGCTCTCCCGCCATCACCACCACCCAGGAGAGGGCCTTGCTCCTTTTTGCAACTGGGCAGTGAGGCCACTGTGAACAGAAGGGAGGCTCCAAAGGTCAGGGGTGAGGGGGAGGCCAGAGATGGGTAGGTGGGCATGAAATGGGGAAGGGTCAAGAGATTTTATGATAAGGTGTTGCATTCAGTGCTTGGTAATAAAAGAAGAAAACGAAAGCTAAAAAGTTCGGTGAGATTAGGTTTATACTTTTAAGGTCACGAAAACTTCACAGTGAGAAAACTGCCACATCACAAGGTTCTGATTTGCCTGGTCGGCCCAGCCTGAGCTGAAGTCCTGAAGCAAGGCTGCCTGTCTACTTCCTCCTCACCAAAGCAAAGCAAGAGTGCCTCTAGGGAGCTGTCTGGTTTCTCCTCACTATGGTGGAGGAGAACCCGGGGTCAGAAGGCCTAGCAATGAGTAGCGGGTCATGTCCACTATAAAGTCTCAGAGGAAACACCTCTACAGCACCCCTGATGAGAGGTTCCTCGCCCCTGCTTGAATGCCTCCTGTGACAGGGACCTCACCCCTTTACAGATATCTCACCTCCCTAATCCTGGGTTTCAATTCCCTCTTGCTAATATTTGTGCTACCCTTTCCAGATTAAAAAAAAAAATTATACTTGCTTCCCAGTCTGTTATCTTTACAGAGAAGATGAATGACAAATAGCATCTGAGCATATCTGTCATCCACAAAGGCTAACTTAGCACCCACCCCAAGCAGGCCTTCCAGATTCTAGCAAAACTTGAAGAGCTCCCTACTTTTCCTCCCCCCACTTTCCAGAGCATTGTTCTGCTCTTCGCCCTTTCTGCAAGCCTCAGCCCCATGTGGGGTGCAGCGGGCCATCACTGTGGCTCCTTTATTCTTGCCCTTGGTTCTGCACCCTGACTCCCGCTTTGAATATGTCCTTCTCCAGCCTAAGCTCATCTGCCAGCTCTGGGATGATGCATTTCATCTCTTAGGCTCCTCCCCTTCTCCTTCTCATCAAGACCTCTCATGATTACCCAGTCAGAATTTCATTCTCGAGAGCCTCCCAGGACATCTCAACATTCTTCTTCTAAGGCTCCTCTATAGAATTGTGCCTGCTTTTTCCCTCTGTGTGTTGAATGTTGCCTGACCAAGTTAGAAATGCTACCATGCTCCTCTCTGAGCCTGTTCCTTTCAAGTGGAGAGAGTATATTAGTTTCCTAAGGCTATCCTTAAAAATGGCCACAAACTGGGTGGCTTCAAACAACAGACGTTTATTTTTTCACAGTTCTGGGGCCTGCAAGTCTGAGATTAAGGTTTCAGCAAGGCCACGCTCCTTCTGAAGGCTCTAAGGGAGGATCCTTCCTTCCTCTTCCAGCTTCTGACATTTGCCAGCAATCCTTGGTGCTGTAGACTGATTCCTCCAGTCTTAGCCTCCATGGTCACATGACTTTCCCCTGTGTGTCTCTCTGTGCCTGTGTCCAAATTTCCTTCCTCTTAAAGGATACTGGTTTTCAGACTTAGGGCCCACTTTGCTCTAGTATGACCTCATCTTAACTGATCACTTCTGCAAAGACCCTATTTCCAAATAAGGTCACATGCACAGGTTCCCGGTGCCCATGAATTTTGGGGGGATACTATCTGACCCAGGACACTCCCTCATCTGTGATTTTTCCCTCTCCCTTTCCCCCACACCCCCCAAGAAGCTTTCAAGTTAGCCTGACCCCTCCTCTTGGACATCCTGCCAGTCTCACCCCATCTTCACCATCCTAACAGCCAGGGTCTTTCTGTTCAGCGCAGGCTCTGGGGCCAGACTGAGTCCCGGCTTCCCTGCTTCGATATGGGAACTTGAGAATATTACTTTACTCCTCTGGGCCTCAATAGCCTGTTCTGCAAAGCGGGGATAATAGTAGCACCTACTTCATAGGATTGTTGTGATGACTAAGTGAATTATTCTTTGTAAAGAGAAGAACAATGCCTGGCACAGACAAGGCGACAGAAGTGTAAAGTATCATTTCAGGCCTTTATCATTTCAAGCTTGGATTAAAGCCGCAGAGTCCTAACCAACTGCTTTCCAGCTCCAGTCTCCAGCACCCCTATCTGTCTTCAAAACACAAATCTTACCGTGTCACTCCATGTGCTCCACTGCATTCAAGTGTAGGTCCAAAAATTTGCAGCGGAGAACACAGGCCTTTGGCAAGGCGGCTCTTACCTATTTGTACAGCCT